TAGTTTGCAACGAAGTTGCAGCAGTCTTGCTATGCCAGTCTGCAAGCTTGCAGCAAGTTCAGCACGGCAAGACCGCAAGTTCATAACAAGACTGCAGCAAGTTAACGCAAACTTCGAAGTCACCATGCGACAAGCTTGCAGTGAACTTGTCATGCAAGTTCATTGCAAACTAGTAGAAAAAATAACTTGCTGTATCAAATTTACTGCATATTCAGGGATATTGTGTATACAGGGGAATTCCCCCCTTCAAGGCCGTTCCTACAGAGAGGTACCCTTTTTGTCCACCCTCTTTTATTATCACAGAATAGGACGGTGAGGCTGTCTCCCTCTTTTTCCTCCCTTTTCTTCTACCCCACCAGAGGAGTGAAGACAGTTATTTTGAATGGAACTTACTTTTACGATCTATGTAGAAAAGAGCGCTACTCGAACTCGCGATCATCTGACCCGCAGGCTCAGACCACAATACAAACTGGGAACCAGAGACAAAAGAATTAGAAAAGAGTTTTCGCTTCGTCATTGTGCCACAGTCGAAAATGTGCCATGTCAATTTTGCGACAAGCTTGCTTTGCAAATGGGGTGGTCGATTATGCTATGTTACTTTGCAGGAGTTTCGCTGCAAATTTGTCGCGTCAAGTTTGTCATGACAAGATAATATTAAGCTAAAAAATCACACTTGCTACAAATGTGCATGCTATCTGGGGTGCAACCAATTTCCGGAATAAAATCGACCAAAAGTGCTAGTCTCGGGATTTTGAAACGATCAGTATTTGATTTCGGACGATTATAACGACGTTCTATCGTTATTCAAGAGCTTTAATCGAAAAGAACTGTAATCATTCGAAAACGCATATCACAACAAGAATGGTGATCCACAGGAAATACCTTTGAAATTGCGATCGGGTGTGGGGAAAGTGTGACCGGAAAGATGGAGAAACGAAGGGATAATTTTTATATTTGTGGTTTAACGATCTTCTTTCTAAGAATCAAAAGGTAGTTTCGATGGTGCCGTCCGTTTACAGGCGGTAGAACTGAAAACTAAAACTTTTTCCAAAAGTATATTAAAAAGAAATGAAAATTTTTTTAAAAATGTTTTAACACTTTACGTCATTTAATTACCAATTAATGAATCGCACCTTTTTGACAGTAGTATTCATCACTAGTTTTTGTGATTTTTTTGATATTGCGTAGAAAATAACAGTTCGTCAAATATTCGACATCCCTAATTTGTTTTTCAAACCAGCGGGAGTGGTCTCCCCTAAACGTTCTCGTATACTCCTTAACAAAGGTGTCATTTCCCCGCACCCTCGCGCGGATAAAAATTGCAAATTTTCTGTACGCCCAGTATGCCATGAATCTCCCTCAGCGAGCACCAAAAGCGAAAGGTGGTGGTAGAATCGAAAGGTGGTGGTAGAAGCGACAGGGGGTGGTAGAAGCGAAAGGTGGTGGTAGAAGCGAAAGGTGGTGGTAGAAGCGAAAAGGAGTAGCGGAAGTGAATCGCGGCATTCCGCAATAACCCAGATAGCATGCACATTTGCAGCAAGAGTTATTTTTTCTGGATATTAACTTGTCATCACAAACTTGACACGACAAGTTTTCAGCGCAAGTCCTGCAAAGTAACACAGCAATAATCAACCACCCCACTTGCAAAACAAGTTTGCTGTGAAGTTGATACGGCACACTTACACACCACGACCTGGATACAGTTGTATATATCTGGTTTTGATTCTTTGACTCTGTTTTAAAAAACATCCTATTTTTAATAACATCTCCTAGACTGTCCTTCTTTTTATTAATTCAATAAATCAATAATAATTTGAAAAAAACTAACTAGGTCCTGCTATAAAAAATATTACTTTTGAAAAATTCTCCATTCCAACTTTTACTAAATATAGAACTCGTACTTTAAAGAAAACTATATATCGCCTTTTTCTTAATTTTGAAATTTTAACGTTCATAAACAAAATTAAAATTAAACCCCAAAACAGTCAATATTTATTGAAAAATAATAACTTACTTTGTGTCCCATATTTTTAAAAGTAATTACTTTTGAACTCTAATTTCATAATTTATTCCATTAACAAAACGTATTTATTAGCAAAAATATATATATATATCTCTCTTTGACTTCAAATCAAATTCTCAAAATGAGAAAAAAAATTAAATCAAAAGAAGACAATTAAAAATAACATGAAGCGCAATCTATCTTCGGCGATCGAGGTCTCGCTGGTGCGACGGGTTGGTAAGCGAGCTGTCTAGGGTTCGAATCCAAGGTTCGTATGCGTATTCTGGGTTGCAATGAACTTGACGCTACAAGTTTACAGCAAGTTTGTCGTATAGTGACTTCGAAGTTTGCGATAACTTGTTTCAAACTTATGAGCTTGCAGAACAAGACTGCTGCATTTTTGTTGCAAACTAAAATAGCTATATGGGAACGGCCTTACGTCATTGTGTGATGAGAAAAGACGAAAAGCCATAGGGTTATGGAATTATCGTGTTCACAAGTATGAGATTGCACATACCGACAGACAGTCCATCCTTTGACGGATTTGGTCCAAAATTTGATACGGACCTACATTCCTGATGATAAAACTGTGTGCCAAATTTTGTCTCTCCAGCTATTTAAGTTTTCGAGTTATCGTGTTCACATGAACACGGACAGACAGACCTCCCGTGGACAGATTTTGACCAAAATTTGATAGAAACCTACAAATTATGTTTAAAGATCACATATCAAATTTTATACCTCTAGTTTTAATAGTTTTTGAGTTATCGTGCTCACAGACCTAATTCCAAAATTGTGTTTTTGGACTCAGATAGGTCTAAAACGTGGAGATTCATTAAAAACTCGATTTTTTTTTTTACGATTACATTACTTTCTCTTTGTATGGATGAGTTTTCTGTTTTGTTTCCTTACAATACTTTAACCTTGACTTTATTTGCATTACTTTTGGACTTCCGCTTTGAAGATTCCATTGACTATGCATTAAACCGAAATTACGTAGGTATGGCATTTTAACAGTATAGAAGATTCGAGATGCAATAGATTATAAAATATTTAGTTCCTTAAAATTTCTTTCTTACTAAAAAAAATTGAAAATTCTTACTTTTCTCTTTTATCTTTAAATATATGTATAATCAATCTTCACTTGAATGTTAGAATTAAAATTTCTGAACGAATTACGAAATGCGCTAAAAAGGGTTTAGGTTACAGTATTCAATTTTATCTTTGATAAGAAAAAGAATTAAGAAGAACTTTAAAAAAACTATTTTCCTTAATTATGAATTAAAATCATCATTTTATAATTGCAACGACGTGTAATGCTGATGACATATCGTGGTAATCTCGAAATGGGTTTCAGTGATAATAAACATATACTGAATAAAAATTCTTTAGTATTTAAATAAATGTCAGCATTCGCATTGAAATTTAATATATTTTTTCATTTTGATCGCTGCGAATCAGATAAATATTTTAATGTAATGACAGAATTATTTTATTATTCTCATTACTGTAGTTACTTTTCAATCAGCGCGGCATACGAGTGGTTAACATCTACAAAGTATCTGGAATTACATACAAATTATATTTTTATTCTTTCAATTTTTAAGTTATAAGTAGAAATGCAGGTACTCACCTGCTTTTTGTGTTGATATTGTTTTCATATTTGATATTCGAACATGGATCTTTTGACACTTCCGTCTCAAGATACTATAAGGTCTTTTTACAAGATGCGTTACGCACGTCCTACTTTCTTCTCACTAAAAACAGAGAAGCACCACTTTTCTCTCCAATTATTTTCCACGAAAGCAAGATCAATAAGACTGAGGCCCCTTTACTCTTCTAAAACGCGTAAACATGACTATATAAACGCCTCCCAAAAAAACCGCTAAACGAAAAGCGTGAGTGTCGCCTTTTCAATGATGCTAATTGGTTTCTTCAATGGGCAAAATTTCATTCCCCCTTCCTCTCTAGTAACAGTTCCAGCCAAGAAAACCGTTTCTTTTAAAGATAGGCTAATTCCCTTGTTTTTCAGCTTTATGACAGTAAAATGAAACTACAAAAAAGCACGTCTTATAGCCATCTCTCACAAGAACTGTATCCTTTTTACACAAGGGATACAATCCCTTCAGTCTTTCCGGTGGCTTCCGATACCAATAAAAAAATCTAAATGAGTATTGCAGCTATACTTAGCACAGAAGAGGTGTTCTGTTCCAATATTCGGAGGACTGCTCGAGAGTTTCTACATCGGTTTCAACGTTTTGGAGAAACATCAGTAAATGCTGGTGGTAGAATTTCGACGGCAATAAATCCCCAAAGACTGATGTAGAACGTTGTGCAGGGCTATTTGCTTCAGAAAATTATAATATATAGAGAAAGAGTTCTTTCTTCTCTCTCTGTGTCACACATACTTCCTGGGGGCCCAAATTGCCTTATGTTTAAGGGGGCCCACTTGCCATCGGACAATCTAGCCAGTCCGCCACTGGCACTACCCAGATAGCAAAGAAAGCTTGTCTAAAAGGTTTTGGAAACCTTGTCGTCGGCAAGGGTAAAGGGTTGTCACAAAGGTTTCCATGACAAGGATTGAACCTTTAGGCAAGATAGCGGAAAGGTTTGCTAGTCAACAAGAAACAAGGTTTTTAGTAAGATTTCCCCAAGCTTTTATTACAAACTTGTTTCATGCCTTTCAAAAGGTAGTTAAGAGCCCTCCTTCGGCGGACAAAATAGAACCCCCTTCGAAGCCGTACACTTACAGAAAGTTCCAACCTCCCTTTTTTCACCCCCTCTTCAAAGCCGTGCTCCTACAGAGGGTCGAACCCCCTTTTTTTCCCCTTCTTCTTACGTCATCTCAGTCCAACTTAGAGTTATCTGGAATGGCGATTAATTAGGATTCTTAATTATTCAAAGCTTAATTATTAATTTCAATTAATTTGATTAATCTAATTGTTAATTTGAAATTACTTATACGATTTCGTTGTAGATTGCGACAAAACTTCAAGTCCCTCCGAACCGGGGATCGATCCCGCGGTCGTAGAGTTGAAGGCAAACGCAATAACCACTATACCATGCGGGGCTACACACAATGGGACAGATGTTTCATAAAAAGCTTTCCTGCGTCAATTTTGAGGGAATGATTTCCAAAACGGTTTGCATGGAAATGCTTTCGTGGACTTGTCGTTCAAACATTGTCGGTGAGGTAGTTCATGAAATGCTTTCCTATGTAAACCTTTCGGCAATGATTTCCGAAACGGTTTGCGCGGAAATGCTTTCGCGGACAGCCTGTGGAAAGTGAAATGGCAGCCTTTCCGCAACCTTCTATGCTATATGGGTAGGGCTTATTTCCTCCCAACCCAGATAGCGCGTACGTTTGCAGCAAGTTTGGTTTTTACTTGATATTACCTTGTCATGGCAAATTTGACGCGTCAAGCTTGAAGCGAAACTGTGGCAAACTAACAATTCAGAATCGCCGCCCTCGTATGCAAAACAAGTTTGCCCCAAGTTCGCCGTGACAACTAGCGCCCCCCTCCTTGCAATGCAAGCTTGCTGTGAGTTTGCAGAACAAGCTTGCTGCAAAGTAGCACAATAAAAGATAATTATCTTTGTCTCTGTTTTAAAAAAAAACATCCGATTTTTAATAGCATCTCCTAGACATTCCTTCTTATTATTAATTCAATAAATCAATGATAATTTGTGAAAAAAATAACTTTTGTATAAAAAAAATTTGAAATATTTTCCATCTTTTTACTAAATATAAAACTCGCACTTTAAAGAAAACTATATCGCCCTTTTCATAATGTTGAAATTTTAACGTTTATAAACAAAATTAAACCTAAAAAACGGCCAATGTTTGTTGAAAAATAATAACTTACATTTTGTCCCATTTTAAAAGTAATTACTTTTGAAACCTAATTTCATAATTTATTCTACTAGCAAAACGTAGTTATTAGCGAAAACCGCTCTCTCTTTGGTTTCAAATCATGTTCTCAACACAAAATTTAAAAAACTAATGAAATCAAGAAAAGAGTTTAAAATAAATCGTATACGAATCGAATCGTCTTCTCATCTCAGAGTTTATCTGGCCGAGTGGTTAGAGTGTCCGCTTAGCAAGCGCTAGGTTGTGATTCTTAATATCAATACAAATTTGGTATAATTTTGGGGGATAATTACAAATTTGTGCTATCATCTTTGCATCAAGCTTGTTTTGCAAACTTACAGCAAGCTTTCATTGCAAGAATGGGTGGTGCTAGTTGTCACGGTGTTGCAAGCGAGTGTGGCGATTTTGCATTGTTAGTTTGCCAAAAAAAGTTCGCTTAAAGCTTGATGCGTCAAATTTGCCATGACAAGGTAATATCAAGTAAAAATCAAAGTTGCTGCAAACGCACCTGCTATCTGGGCTGGGAATGCTTCGTTCCACTATTTTCATTCATTCCTTTATTTTTTTTAAAGAAAAGAGGGGGAAACTTTTCTGTGAATTTAATTAAGGTTACAGTATCGTAAATTCGCCAACGCCTTAGCATTGCGATGTATGTTGCATGAATTTTGAGGCCCCCTAGAGACTCGAAGCACGAGGCGGCCTCCTCTAACCTCTAACACCTGTGCGGAAAACCGCCACTGTTCAAAGTTCAGGGGGGTGACGTAAGATTTGGGGGTCTATTCTGGTACTCCCGGTTGGGTTGGGTTCCGCACGTTAACAACGGTACCCAACCCAACCGGGGATACCAAAATAGACCCCTTGGTGTCTTCAAGGAATCCTTACGCTATTCATCGCAAATACAAATCATTGCAACAGAACTCGAGCAATTTACGCTGGAATTTCATTCTTTTTTAGATTACAAAACAGAAAATGTAGAGGTTGAGTTGCCAAAACCAGACAAGTTGAAGCAGGCTAAAAACAATCAACTAGAAAAAGGAAAAAAAAATCCAAAAATTTAAATTTAAACAGAAACTACAAAATTTAGACAAAACAATTAAATTTAAACAATGTTTAAGTAGCTCGCAAATACAGCAGCGAACTGAAATGAAGCGTATATGAAGTGAAATGAGAGAGCGGGAAGTTTTGTAATCTTTTAAAGCGGCTTTATAGCAAGTAAACATTGTCAAACATATCTTTCTACTAAACTTAAACCTTCAACTTTTTCTTGGAGTTTTCATGGATTAACTTTGTAAGTTTACTATTTTGTTTTTTTTGTACATTTATCCTGTATAATTTCATATATATGTAAATAGCTAAACGAAATTTCATTGGAAATGTTTCTTGTGTAATTTTATCTCAGAAATTGTGTAAATTCCTTAGAAATTAACTAGTTTTATTTTGATTTTCGCTTTAAGTTTTCCATTTATCTACGCTTTATTTCAAAATAGAAACATAATGAATCACATTTATGAAATTGTCTTTTTTCCTCTGCAGAATCGCAAAAAAAAAAAAAAAAAATATAAACTGTTAATCAACATTTATGTTCAAATAAAGTGACTTAACGTTCGTGATTAGCAGGGCAGTCTCGAATTTCGATTGTTTCCCTAAATTGAAAAAGTACTCGGGGTAGTTTCAAATTTTATTCATAAATAAGTATTCGTAATTTTAAAACTACTATCCTTGATGGAATCTAAAAAAACAACCTAGTTTCCTAACATTCAATGAAGAAGCGAAGCTGCTAGTTATCGGCTATGCTGATGTTTTTTCAAGTTAAAAAAATTCACCCGGTTCGCGTACGCAAGAGAACAATAAAATGTTCACTGCTCACCCAAAGCAAATGTCCTCACATCGGCAAACTGTCTTGCTCTTGGCGACAAAAAGTTAGCGATGCAAAATGGAGAGGAACTGCTCCGTACCAGGAGAGATGAATTGGATTTAATTTTTTAACAAAGTTACTTTTAATGAGAGGTAAAGTAAAAGAGAATGCTCCTTCAAAACTTTTGTTAGTCACTTAAAGTAATTAGACATTCTGGATTAGCTGTTACAGTCCTGATTTTCTCTTTGTCCAGAACTGAAAGAGTGTCCCGAATTCCAATTAGAGTTATTGCTCCACTTTTGACCACTGTACTAGTTGTGGCCAAAATGGATTTATTTGTCAAGAAATTAGTCGGTGATGTGATATTAACCAATAAGATGCATTCCTTCACCTTAAACAAACTCTACTTTAATATTTACACTCAGATTTCATTTTTCTTTAACTTGTGACTTGTTATAAAATTAAATGGATGAACATGTATTGTGTGCTCATAAGTGTTAAGGTTTTTGTTAACCCGCAAGGGCGCGCGCTACGAGTGTAACATGAAGTCGCACAAGGGGGTATGTTACACCCCAATTTGTTACTTTGCTATTTATGCAAAACTAGCAATATTTTAATGCTCTATCTGTTAAAATGATTCATACAAACTGTTCTAGTTATACAAGAGCAAGATAGATGCAAAATTTAGTAAATAATAGTACATTATATTATTCAGCAGATTGTAACACATCAGTAAAGTATATTTCTTACATAGGGGAGACTGGAGATGTTTGACCCATCCCTTTTAACTTTTTAAAAAACTTGATTTCAAAGATTAAATACTAGATGGCAGCTCAATAATCATCAATTACATACCATACTAAAGTTTTAAGACATTTCAGAAAAAACAGAGAAACTATTTCCTGTTTCATATTTCTTGCTTAGAAAAGTAAATTTTTAGTTTTTCATTTGTAAGAACCTGTGTTAATTATATGTTAAATTTATGAAAATATTTTGGGTTATAAAGCTACCTTAAATAATGCTCTGAAAGACTATCCACTTAAATATAAATAATAATAGTTATTAATATGTGCTTTTTTGCATTTTTATTAAAATGGTTGCAAGGGGATGTTTGACCCATAACTTTAAAGGGCTAACATTTTTAAAGTTAAATCTCACATATTTCTAACTTAGTTTAAAGTTAATTTAAATATTAATTTTTATGTTTGTAAGATTTATATCTTAGTTGGAAAATTCTGTGCCTAAAATGTTCAAAGCATATAAAATTTTCATGAAAGCAATATTGTACCATTCATATGCTACTGTTTATTCTACTATATCTTGGATATTATTGGGCAAATAGGTATTAAAATCTTTAAGAATGAAAAGAAAATTAGTTTATTTCGTCAAAAGCATATATAAACTGCATTCTGTTTCAGTTTTTATAATCACCAAAGTGAAATTTAATTTTCAAAGTGACTCTTTTGTTTTTTTCACATTTGTTTTAATTAAAGCCCATGCTCTACCAGACTTCAGTGCTTCACAAAAATAATTCTTTATGCCTGTGTATAAATTCTTTCAACCAGTCATAGCTAGCAGATTTGTTTGTTGTCCGTCTTTGGAGTTAATCCATAATGTAACTTGGAAGCAAGCTGTGAATATTCCTCAGTTTTCCCTATATCAAGGAATACTTGACAGCAGACGTGATTAGCTTTAAATTATATATTTCCATCTCTAAAGCCTTTATATTTATCCATATACCTCTTCCTAAAGGTTTTTTTTTATCAATTTAATCCTCAACCAACGCTTTAACATTTTTATCTTTTTAAATGATGGACAGAATAGCAGCTTTAATTTACGTTCAGAATACCTTTCTTTTATTTTATTCTGACTTATAGAAAAACGGCATAAAAATAAGCAAAAGACATTGTTTTTTATCTTCATTATTTTTTCATTAAACCTACTGAAGTGTTAATGAGGCCAAGGGATGTAGAGATATTTAGAAATTCGGTAAATGATAATGTAGCATTTTTTTTCTTTTCATTGTTAAAGATTTTAATACCTATTTGCCCAATAATATTCAAGATATAATAGAATAAACAGTAGCATATATGAATGGAACAATATTGCTTTGATGAAAATTTTATGCGCTTTGAGCATTTTAGGCTCAGAATTTTTCAACTAAGTTCTTGCAAACACAGAAATTATTAACTAAATTAATTTTAAATTGTTAGAAATATGTAATATGCGAGATTTAACTTTAAATTAAAAATGTTTGCCCTTTAAAATTATAAATTAGGGAGGTTTGGCCCTTGTCAAACCTCCCATACTTGCTATGGGTCAAACATCCCCTTAAAGCCATTTT